GAGCGGGGCGCCGCTGTCTGAGCCCGGCGCAGCCGTCACTGGCAAGTCTCTTGCGCTCTGTTGTTTCTTAAGGGGCTCCGACTCCTCTGTCTGTAGAGGGCATTATTGGTTTAGAAAACGTCACCAAAAGAAGTCGGGCTTTCTCAACACAGGCCATAATGGCAAGACCTCTGGATACACTTTACCCGGTTTGGCTTGGCCCTGGCCCTCGAGGGGAGTGGATCTTTTAGCTAAAAAGTTTTCAAATGGAGATGTTTAAAACAGGCTTTTAAACCCTGTTAGAATTTTCCTTTATGATAACAGTGAATTGTATATGCAAGTTCTTTGGTCTTCAGAAATCATCATGGCCATTACAGCAACCTATTGAATGTTTTTTAAATTGTGTGAAATTTGGAATACGGGCTTTGGACCAGAGTCTAGAATGGATACCTCTGGAGGGATCACTAAACAAAACAAGGATGCACATTAGGATGAAATTATAGTTTTAATAATTTTTGGGATGGGATGCAATGGCCTTGAAGCATTTACCCCATATTACTGTAGCTTGGTGAAGAAAATGTATAGAAATGTGCATTGATTGATATATAACATCACCTCACAGAAACAAGTGGTATTACTGGTGATGTTTCTGAATTCTGAGTTGATGTAAAAACCTGATTCTTTGCTGAAGACCTTTAGAGTTACATGGGTTTGCAAAAAGAAGTTCAAGATTTTCCTGTGTTTGGCGTGCCTCTTCTGAAAGGCTCACAGGGGTAAAAGCCTTGTGGGTATCTCAGCAACTACAGGAGTTGGTGTCCCTGCTCAGGCGTGCTCCTTGGTCTCTTCCTGTGGCACCGTACTTTATTGTTCAGCATTTCCCTGGTAAGTAATCAGACTGACAACAGCAGACCACCAGCAAGTTTGCTTTCCTTGATGACCATAGCTGGTTTTGAAGGAGAGGCAACAGAAGAACGCAGTTTTAAACCACCACTCACTTGAGCCATCAGCATGTATTCTTACATTTGTGTCTGATTGCTTTCCCCATTCTCTTTCAATTGATATTCCTCTGTCCTATTAGACTGAGCATTAAATGGAGGGTAGGAGTCAGTTTAATAGACACTTAAAAAGTTTTTTTAAGACAAATAGCTAGAAAATGTCTAGAACATTTTCAGTATAACATTTTTCCATGTTCCTGATGTGTTACTGTTACCTTGCAGAAAGAGGTATGATTTGTCCAGGCAATCCCCATCTTCTGTCAACCGCACGTTGGGGTTCCAAAATCAAATACTACATGAATGTAAAGTGTATACAGACAAGTGCCTGCAAGTTTTACATAATTTCATCCTCATGTATATGTGTACAAATCCATGGAAAACAGCAGGACATAGTCCTGTACAAATATGTTGATAATTATGTATGTAAAACATTCAGAGCCACAGAGCAGGAGTATATTGGTGACTTGAAGCTGAGATTATTTAGTAAGAGAAATGGCACCATTATAAGGTACATAGGTGGAGAAAAAATGAGCCATGCTTGTCTTTCCTTGGTTGATGCTAAGATAAGGTTTATACAGGTAATTATCTCATCTAAATAATGGCTAGTTTTAGTGTCACATTCTATTTTTCCAGCAGACATGGATTTATTAGGTGATAGAAATTCTGTTAACAGGAAATTAGTCCAATTTGGCTTCAGAAAATACAGCATGGGCCAAGTCCAGACTTACAATGATCAGCTGTTAAATCATTCTGTAGCATTGTAGTGTAGGGGAGGGTAAGTTCTGAAGTTTGCAAGTGTCCTTCTTTATATTTACATATTAATTTTGTTCCTCAATCAAATCTTTATAGCTACTTGGGGTTAGGTTAAAGAGAGCTCCAGAATAACCATGTTGAAAGATTTTGTGTGTGCTTTTAGCATTTTAGTTTCTTCATAGCAAAAGACAGATATGATACAGATGTGAGCAGGATAAGAACGCCGTGAGGTGTCTGTGCAATGCTTTCCTTTCTTTTTGTCAGTGATGAAACCGGTGTGGAAGTGACCTCTGAGGTTGGAGCTCTGCATTCCAGAAATGTTGCTCAGTTTAGCGCAGGCCAGTCAGTGTTGGTAATCTGCTTGTTCACACAATGGTAGTGTGAATGCACTAAACACCCATGTGGCTCTGGGATGCTGTTCAGATAAACTGAGCTGCTGCAGTAGATTTGCCTGATGAGTGATTGTATATTTTCTTTCATCAGCTGCTGATCAATAGCAGCTATATGTAACTCTTTACAGTAACCCTTCAGTGTTTGTGCAAAACCACTGCTATTTGGTTTTGTCCACAACCTCTTATTTCATCCAATAAAATCAGATAAGTAAATTCTACTAATTTAAAAGCAAATTTCTATGGGGGCAGAGCCTTGGCTGCAAATCAGTGAAGTTGCACCATGCTTTAGCTAAGGTTAAATGCAGCAGGTCTGACTGCTCTCCTTCCTAATGATGCTGTCTGGCAACTGTTGTAGGGAAGTCAAGCTATATCATCTGTACTATGGGAACATGATGCCATCTGACGGTATCTCACCTTCCCTCAAGGGTAGATGTCTCGGACTGGTTTATGTTGATGGAAAAGCAGAGCATGACTGGGGCCTGGATAGAGACTGACATCACTTTATAAATCGGGATTAGTCCTTCAAGTCTTTTTGTAACTGGCGTTATAGTGTGGCCTTAGTATCGTTCTACGCAGTTGAATAAATTGACAGCCAGGACTCTATTTTCCTTAGGTTATTTATAAAAACATTCAGTCCATCTTAAGCTAACTCTGGAAACAGCAGACTCTTGCTACAGTAGTACTGGTCAATGAAGACTTCCTCCTGAATTCCAAAGTCACTGTTGCTTATAATTATTTAAAATTGGTAACAAAGTAAGATGCTGTGCTAGCTTATTTATTTTTGTGAAGCTTGAGTACTGATACTGTTTTATTCATTCCCCTTAAGTTGAAGTTTTAGTAGGAGCTGTCCACTGAACTAAAATTATCAGACCATTGAGGAATCAAAAAAGGGGGTATAAAGGAGTGAACTGGAGCCTTTTTATACACATATGTGTATATAATCTAGGCTTTATTCATTCTGCTGTTCAGAGAACAATTTGGGGGCATTTTCCTTGTTTTTAAGGCACAATATTTGTCTTGCTAGGCTGTCAACAAAAGCATTTCTTTAAAAACCTTGCCAGAATGCAAACTGTTTTGGCATTTTTATCTTGCATGTGAGCAGGCCGACATGCTGCAATTTTTTATGCCAAAATCACATCCATTCCAGGAACCTATTTACTGTGGATGTAAAAATTTCAAAGTATGACTGAGGCTATTTACTGACATCGAAATTTGCATTTTTCCAAAAGGTTCCAAGCTTATTTTTATATTTAGTATGCAAAATCCCAGACAATTAGATTTCCACCTGGCTAAGTAAAACCAGTGCAGTAGCTGCCAAAGACTGTGACCAGTGGCAGTGTGTGCTGTGCCAGTCACCTGCAATTTTACAGTGACAGCAAGTGTACTATTCTGCCCCTGCAGCTGACATATACAGACAAAGAACCCTTTCTGTCCCAAACTAAACAGTAAACCCAAAGCCCGTTTGTTGCAGAATACCCTGTTTTAGACAACTTTATTGTTACATGGTCAATGAAAAAAAAAAAATTATTTTTTCCAAGCATCTGAAATTTGATAATTTAGGCTGTAACTTTTGTATTTGCTCTGTTGAAACTTCTGGAAACATGGCAAGTTACCCTTACCAGAGTCTTCTGGAAAAAAAAAAAAAAAGGTGTCTTTTTACAGTGCAGTAAGGCTGGTGGAGCAGCTTCATGTCACCCATTTGATTCTTCTTGTGATCGTTGCTTAGAAACATGGCAGCTAAGTAGCTTTAAGTTTAGAGTCCACTGCAATGTTTTGTTCTTCCTTAGCAGTTTTGCTGGCTAAACTGTCTTAAACCAAAACTATGTAACATTAGTACTGAGAGATTCAGTGAATGTACTAGGCCCTTTTTTACTGAATATCCTAAACCACGCTCGTCAGTTGCACCATAGTCCTGCTGACGCTTGAGTTGTTTAAACTTGTGCCATTACATTGTGTGTTTGTGGTTAGCTGTAGTTAGTAGAACAGAAGCAGTCTGGCTTTATGTAAGAGGGACTTGATTTTCCAAGTGTAAATTCTGATGTCAAGTGTCACGTCTGCCAGTAGTCTCTGTACAGACTTCCTTTTTGCTTCTGTTTTTTGCCTTTCAGTCCTAAAATGCTTTGTAAAGGTCCCATTAAGACACAAGTTTGGAGGCAGCATTGTTGTTAGTAGTGTTATTATGAAGAGGTGGTTTCAAGTCTCCAATACATCACCCTTCAACAATGCTAAATTTACTCTCCCAAAGAAGTCACAAACCCATCAACATCTTTCATAAATTAATTTGCTGTTGCAGCAAGGACTCAAGGCAATGTGCGTGCTTTTACTGTTACCAAGTTAAATTGTCTTGGCTGCAGCTTTTTATTCACTGCAGAAAGCATTATATTAATGTTCTGATTAGTTTTTTGGTGGAATAATTTCTAGTAAGTAGAATATGTCAAGCTCTGCAGCAAGATTACTGAGGTTCAAAACACAGCACTTTGCAGTTTGTTAATATGTGATTTTTACTGGCATCTATGCAGTTGAAACAGCGTAATGCATTTATG